TGGGGGAAAATAACGGGAAATGGGGAAAAATCCTGGGGAAATGGGGATTTTGTGGTCAAAAATGGGAATTTTTTGGGGTGAAAATGGGGATTTTCCTGAGAAAATGGAAGTTTTCCTGAAAAAATGGGAATTTTTTGGGGTGAAAATGGGGATTTTCCTGAGAAAATGGAAGTTTTCCTGAAAAAATGGGAATTTTTTGGGGTGAAAATGGGGATTTTCCTGAGAAAATGGAAGTTTTCCTGAAAAAATGGGAATTTTTTGGGGGTGAATCGTTGGGAAATGGGGAAAAATCCCTGGGGAATGGGGAAAATCCTGGGAAATGGGGAAAATCCTGGGGAAAATGGGGGTTTTTCCTGAGAAAATTGAGATTTCGTGGTCAAAAATGGGAATTTTCTGGGAAAAAATTGAATTTTTCCTGAGAAAACTGAGATTTTGTGGTCAAAAATGGGGATTTTCTGGAAAAAATGGGAATTTTTTGGGAAAAAGTTGAATTTTTCCTGAGAAAATTGAGATTTTGTGGTCAAAAATGGGAATTTTGTGGTCAAAAATGGGAATTTTGGGGTGAAAATGGGAATTTTCTGAGTAAAAATGGGAATTTTGTGGCCAAAAATGGGAATTTTCTGAGTAAAGTTGGGAATTTTCTGGGAAAAATGGGAATTTTCGGGGAAAAATGGGAATTTTCTGGTCAAAAATGGAAATTTCACCCTAAAAACCAAAAATTTCCCCTCTAAAATTAGAATTTCCCGGACAAAGTTATAATTTTCCAGCTAAAAACTGAGATTTTCCGGTCAAAAAATCGAAATTCCCCCCCCAGAATTAAAATTTCCCAACCAAAAATCAAAATTTCCCGGTCAAAAATTGAAATTTCTCCATCAAAAATTGAAATTTCTCGGTCAAAAATGGAGATTTCTCCTCCGAAATTCCAAGTTTCTGGTGGGAAATCGCTTCAAAAATTGGAATTTTTGGTTAAATCGGTAAAAAACCTCCTTGAAAATCAAAATTTTCGGTTAAAGCGATAAAAAAAATGGTTAAAAAAAATCAGAATTTCTGGTTAAAATGGCAGAAAATCCCTTTAAAATTCAATATTTTTGGTTAAATTGGCGCCAAATCCCTGCAAAATTCAGCCCAAAAATCCCAAATTCCTTTGGAATTCCCAAATTCCCGTTAAATCCATCCCAAACCCCCCCGAAGCCGGGGTTACCTGGCAAGGTGGAATTGGTGGTCACGGGGCTGGAGGGAGCTGGGGAAAAACGGGAAAAAAATGGGAAAAATGGGAATAAAAATGGGAATTATGGGGGGAAAATGGGGAAAAATGGGGGAAAATGGGAAAATGGGGAAAAATGGGAATAAAAATGGGAAAAAATGGGGGGAAAATGGGGAAAAATGGGAATAAAAATGGGAAAATGTGGAAAAATGGGAATAAAAATGGGAAAATGGGGATAAAAATGGGAATAAAAATGGGAATTATGGGGGGAAAATGGGGGAAAATGGGAAAATGGGGATAATGGGGAAAAAACGGGGGGAAAATGGGAAAAAATGGGAAGAAAAATGGGAATTATGGGGGAAAAATGGGGGAAAATGGGAAAAAATGGGAATAAAAATGGGAATTATGAGGGGAAAATGGGGAAAAAGGGGGGAGGAAATGGGAAAAATGGGGAAAAAATGGGGGAAAAATGGGAAAAATGGGGATAAAAATGGGAATTATGGGGGGAAAATGGGGAAAAATGGGAATAAAAATGGGAATTATGGGGGAAAATGGGGAAGAAATGAGGAAAAATGGGGGGAAATGGGAATAATGGGGGAAAATGGGAAAAAATGGGAAAAATGGGGATAAAAATGGGAATTATGGGGGGAAAATGGGGAAAAATGGGAATAAAAATGGGAATTATGGGGGAAAATGGGGAAGAAATGAGGAAAAATGGGGGGAAATGGGAATAATGGGGGAAAATGGGAAAAAATGGGAAAAATGGGGATAAAAATGGGAATTATGGGGGGAAAATGGGGAAAAATGGGAATAAAAATGGGAATTATGGGGGAAAATGGGGAAGAAATGAGGAAAAATGGGGGGAAATGGGAATAATGGGGGAAAATGGGAAAAAATGGGAAAAATGGGGATAAAAATGGGAATAAAAATGGGAATTATGGGAGGAAAATGGAAAAAAGGGGGGGGAAATGGGAAAATGGGGAAAAAAATGGGGGAAAAATGGGAATAAAAATGGGAATTAGGGGAGGAAAATGGAAAAAAGGGGGGGGAAATGGGAAAATGGGGAAAAAAATGGGGGAAAAATGGGAATAAAAATGGGAATTAGGGGAGGAAAATGGAAAAAAGGGGGGGGAAATGGGAAAATGGGGAAAAAAATGGGGGAAAAATGGGAATAAAAATGGGAATTAGGGGAGGAAAATGGAAAAAAGGGGGGGGAAATGGGAAAATGGGGAAAAAAATGGGGGAAAAATGGGAATAAAAATGGGAATTAGGGGAGGAAAATGGAAAAAAGGGGGGGGAAATGGGAAAATGGGGAAAAAAATGGGGGAAAAATGGGAATAAAAATGGGAATTAGGGGAGGAAAATGGAAAAAAGGGGGGGGAAATGGGAAAATGGGGAAAAAAATGGGGGAAAAATGGGAAAAAATGGGAATAAAAATTGAAATAATGGGAAAAAAATAGGAACAATGGGGGGAAATGGGGAAGAAATGGGAAAAATGGGGGGGAAATGGGGAAGAAATGGAAAAAAAATGGGGAAAATGGGGGAAAAATGGGAATAAAAATGGGAATAATGGGGAGAAATGGGGAAGAAATGGGGAAAAATGGGGGGAAATGGGAAAAATGGGGGGAAAATGGGGGAAAAATGGGAATAAAATGGGAATAAAATGGGAAAAATGGGGGGAAAATGGGAATAAAATGGGAAAAATGGGGGGAAAATGGGAGGAAAATGGGGAAGAAACGGGAAAAATGGGCGGAAAAAGGGGAAAAATGGGAAAAAAGCGTCCCCCGGTCCCTTCCTGATCCCCCCCGCAGCGTTCCTGGCGCTCCCGGTGCCATTCCCGGTTCCATTCCCGGTGTGTCCCGGTCCCTCCCGGTGTTCCCGCACCGTTCCCGGCACTCCCGTTCGCTCCCCAAGTTGTTCCCGGTCCCATTCCCGGTGTTCCCCGGTGTCCCCCGCTCCCTCCCGGTGTCCCCCGGTGTGTCCCGGTCCCATTCCCGGTCCCTCCCGGTGTTCCCCGGTGTTCCCCGGTCCCATTCCCGCTCCCCCCCGGTGTTCCCCGGTCCCATTCCCGGTGTTCCCCGCTCCCTCCCGGTGTTCCCCGGTGTGTCCCGGTCCCATTCCCGGTGTTCCCCGCTCCCTCCCGGTGTTCCCCGGTGTGTCCCGGTCCCATTCCCGGTGTTCCCCGCTCCCTCCCGGTGTTCCCCGGTGTGTCCCGGTCCCATTCCCGGTGTTCCCCGCTCCCTCCCGGTGTTCCCCGGTGTGTCCCGGTCCCCTTCCCGCTCCCTCCCGGTGTTCCCCGGTCCCATTCCCGCTCCCTCCCGGTGTCCCCCGCTCCCTCCCGGTGTCCCCCGGTGCCATTCCCGGTTCTCACCGGTGCCCCCGCAGCATTCCCGCCACTCCCGTTTGCTCCCCAAGTTGTTCCCTCTCCCATTTCCGGTGTCCCCCGGTGTCCCCCGGTGTGTCCCGGTGCCATTCCCGGTGTGTCCCGGTGTCCCCCGCTCCCTCCCGGCACTCCCCGCTCCCATTCCCGGTCTGTCCCGGTTCTCACCGGTGTCCCCGCACCGCTCCCGGCACTCCCGTTCGCTCCCCAAGTTGTTCCCGCTCCCATTCCCGGTGTTCCCCGGTGTTCCCCAGTCCCATTCCCGGTGTTCCCCGCTCCCTCCCGGTGTTCCCCGGTGTCCCCCGCTCCCTCCCGGTGTCCCCCGGTGTTCCCCGGTCCCATTCCCGGTGTTCCCCGCTCCCTCCCGGTGTTCCCCGGTGTTCCCCGGTCCCATTCCCGCTCCCTCCCGGTGTTCCCCGGTCCCATTCCCGGTGTTCCCCGGTTCTCACCGGTGTCCCCGCACCGCTCCCGGCACTCCCGTTCGCTCCCGAAGTTGTTCCCGGTCCCATTCCCGGTGTTCCCCGCTCCCTCCCGGTGTCCCCCGGTGTTCCCCGGTCCCATTCCCGGTGTCCCCCGGTTCTCACCGGTGTCCCCGCACCGTTCCCGGCACTGCCGTTCGCTCCCGAAGTTGTTCCCGTTGCCGCCGCAGCCGCCGAACACGAAACTCTCGCAGCTCCCGGAGGAGGCGTTGAAAAACCAGCGCGGGATGGAGGCGCGGCAGCGGCCGGTGAGCGCCGGTAACCGGCACAGGGCTGGGGAAACCGGCCCCAAATCACCCAAAATCACCCAAAATCACCCCAAAATCCATCCCAAATCCCCGGTAACCGGCACCGGGCTGGGGAACCGGCCCCAAATCACCCAAAATCACCCCAAAATCACCGGAAATTCATCCCAAAATCACCCAAAATCACCTCAAAATCACCGGAAATCCATCCCAAATCCCCGGTAACCGGCACCGGGCTGGGGAAACCGGCCCCAAATCACCCAAAATCACCCAAAATCACCGGAAATTCATCCCAAATCCCCGGTAACCGGCACCGGGCTGGGGAACCGGCCCCAAATCACCCAAAATCACCCCAAAATCACCGGAAATCCATCCCAAAATCACCTCAGATCACCCCAAAATCCCCGGTAACCGGCACCGGGCTGGGGAACCGGCCCAAAATCACCCAAAATCACCTCAAAATCCATCCCAAAATCACCGGAAATCCATCCCAAATCCCCGGTAACCGGCACCGGGCTGGGGAAACCGGCCCAAAATCACCCAAAATCACCGGAAATCCATCCCAAAATCACCTCAGATCACCCCAAAATCACCGGTAACCGGCACCGGGCTGGGGAACCGGCCCAAAATCACCCAAAATCACCTCAAAATCCATCCCAAAATCACCGGAAATCCATCCCAAATCCCCGGTAACCGGCACCGGGCTGGGGGGGCACCGTTACCGACCCCAAAATCACCCCAAAAAAACCCCAAATCCCCCCAAAATCCCCCCCAAATCCATCCCAAATCCCCGGTAACCGGCACCGGGCTGGGGGCAGGACCCGTTACCGACCCCAAATCCCCCCTAAATCCTCCCGGGCACCCCCCAAATCCTCCC